TTTAAGCCAAGAGCTGCAGCCAACAGTAGCAGCTCAGTGGGCCTCTCTTTTAGTATTGATCCAACAGCAAAGGACCTGTATAAAGTTTTCAGGCAGTCAGTGAAATCTGAAACTAATTCTTTGCCTTTCCTCCCCCCTCTGGGAGGCAGACAAACAACTTTGCAGCCATATACTCTTCGATTCAGAATGCATTTGAAATGGCTAACAGCTGCTAGTGTCATCCAGGGTGACAAATCACTATAGGAGGGACAACTCTCCTTGCCTTTTACGTGCAGAAGCACCTTCCTCTGCTTCTTGCCTAACTGCATTACCTTTTCAGTCAGATTACTCGACCCTTGTTCAGACCCAGCATATGCTTTTCAACCTTTTTCAGTGGTGAGACTGGATATTTCCATATGCAACAAAAAAAGAGGACTGGATATGGAAAGCAAAGAGCTAGTCAGGAAAAAAATATCTGGTTATCACTGTCATCTCTGTCCTGTCTTTTATTTATAATGTAAGCTGCTCTAGCTGGGCATAATCTTCTTGTTACCTGAGAAGCTTAGGGTATGTCTATACTCAGTAAAAGATCCTTGGCATAGTACAACTTGTTCAGGTCAGCTGACTTGAACTTGAAGATCTCAGGTACCTGGACTATAAAATAGCAGTGTAGAGGTCTGCACTTGGGCTGGTGTTGGGGCTCTGAGACTCTACAAGAGAGGGGGCGCTCAGAGCCTGGCCTCCAGTCCAAGCCCAAATGTCTATGCTGTTATATATCCACAGTACAACCCTGAGTCTGCTGATGCACACACTGGGTACATCTACACAGCGGTGCTATTTCAGGATACTTTCAGTATCCCAAAATAGCTATTCTGAATCTTTTGAGCAAGCCCGTTATTTAGAAATATAACAGGCTCACTATTCTGACATCTCTGTAAATCTCATTCCACAAGGAGTAAGGGACATTTCGGAATAGTGGTTGATTTTGAAATTTGATGCTGTGTAGACAGAGCCAAATTACAAAATAAGTTATTTCAAAATTAACTCGAAATAAGCTATACAATTTGTGTAGCTCAAATTGCATAATTCATTTCGAGCTTAGGGTGCAGTGTAGATGCATCCTCTGAGATTCGGTGCTGTGGCTTTTATTACAGCAAAGATGTATCTTTAGTGTCTACACAGACAGCACCCTTATTTTTAAGGTCTTTTCTAAGCAACGCTCAAGCAGTGAGTTTTATTTGCCTCCTCAGGCAGCAGAGGAGGAATTAAGGGTGTGTCTAGACTACATCCCTTTTTCGGTAAAGGGATGTAAATTAGGCACATCGATATTGCAAATGAAGCCGGGATTTAAATATCCCATGCTTCATTTGCATAATGGTAGCTTTTTTTCGAAACAGGGCTTTTTTGAAAGAAAATGGCAGTTTGGATGGGAATCTTTCAAAAATAAAACCCTTTTTTGAAAGATCCTGTCCTCCTCAAAAAATGAGTGATTTAATAAAAGTGAAAACATTCATAACCTCTGGCTATTGCTCTTACTGGCAGACAAGGGGTGCATAGATTACATGCTATGTAAAGAAAAACTCCACATTGCCTAAAAACACAAAAATCTACAGGAAAGTCAAACACATTCCCATACAACATTGCATTTCTTTTTTCTTAATAAATGGTGTAACTCTGAATGCTAAAGACAACTAAGATTACATTCAACAGAAGTAAAAATAAATACATAAGATCTAAGAGGATATAGTACTAACAATTCCTCTTTCAATTCCACTGAATACAAATCACTCACAATTTATTCATTTCTTATTCTACTCTACATAAGGTACATGCAACAGCTGCTTGTGATTGTAAAATAAATACAAAATTGTTGCATGAGCTACCTGACATCAGCTGGTGGAAAGGAATCTGAAATCTGTTTGAACACCCTGGCTGTGTCTACACTGGCCCCTTCTTCGGAAGAGGCATGTTAATTTCTAACTTTGGAATAGGGAAATGCACGGGGGATTTAAATATCCCCCGCGGGATTTAAATAAACAGTAGGGAAATCCGCGGGGGATTTAAATATCCCCCGCGGCATTTAAATAAAAATGTCCGCCGCTTTTTTCCGGCTTTTAAAAAAGCCGAAAAAGAGCGTCTACACTGGCCCCGATCCTCCAGAAAAAGCACCCTTTTCCGGAGGCTCTTATTCCTACTTTTTTAAAAGCCGGAAAAAAGCGTTGGACATTTTTATTTAAATGCCGCGGGGGATATTTAAATCCCCCGTGCATTTCCCTATTCCAAAGTTAGAAATTAGCATGCCTCTTCCGAAGAAGGGGCCAGTGTAGACGTAGCCACTGGGAATGGGAACCAGAGCTAGACATAATTTTCTTTTGGGTAGTGGAGTGAGTAATCTCTGGTAAAACTAAAACTTCATGCTCTGGAAAAATAACCTTCCCATTTTGTGTCAGCCTAAATATCTCTTTTTGAGCCAGTGGCATAAACAACATGTATAAATATCTGACTATCTTTTTCTGTGTCACCAAAGATGTTACAGTTTTTCTATAAAAAGGGGAGGCAGGGACAGAATTCAAAGTGGCGTATAAAATATTTTAGCTACTGGAGGAGATGACTTCTTATTGCCAAAAGTTTTTGGCATTCTAATTCAAGTGCTTTAGAAACACACATCCCATTCATTTTGGAGTTTGTGCACCTAAGTCTCTTATGTTTTTGAAAATTCTACCCCAGAATTAATTATCCCCAGCAAGGACATGTAACTGTGTGGAGGAGAAAACATCTCTGTCTCCGCTGTTTTTGTCTTTAGTGCAATAAAATTTCTCCTTCCACTTGTCAGTGGACTGGTGTAACTTATCTTCTGAAACATCAGGTTTCTTATCCCTTCATTAAGTTGGTGAGGTCCATCCCATGATTGAGTTAGGAAAGTCAAATCACGTAAGGATTGAGGATCCCAAGAGGATGTACATGTAGATGGCACATGATTCTTTCATTTGGGGAAGCATATTCAAGCTCTGGAAGCTCTATAGAAAGTGGGACCAGCAGTGGCTGGACCATGGCTCTGGCCCCCTCAAGGCCACACCCTCACTCAGCCTCAGCTGCTGGGGCCCTGCCCCATCCACAGATTGCTCCTCTCCACCACAAGAAGCTGAGCAGGAGAGGGGCTTTAGGTCAGAGCTCAGGCAGGGTCACAGTCCAGATGCCAGTGGCCCCCTATCCTTCTAGAGAGCTTCTGGTGACAGCACTCCAAAGGTGATGGGCCAGCACACCTCCAAAGGGAGATGAGCCAAGGCCACATACAGCAAATTTTTCCCTTGCAGGGCCACCCTTTTGAGTGGAGGCTGTCTCTTTTATGCATCACTGAGAGGTGTAAAGGACCAGACTTTCTCACTGGAGGGAGAGAATTGATTTAGAAGTAATCCAGTAATGCCTAGTTGGATCTATTCAGATCATGGGAATTCTCCTGTTGCCCTAACTATTACCTTTCAGGGAGATAGATTACCTACACCAACAGAAGAACCCTCCTGTTTGCACAGGTAATGTCTTCACTGAAGTGCTACAGCAACGTAGGTGCACCTCTGCAGCATTTTAGGTGTAGGCAAGCCTGTTCTTTCTTTTATATTTCTTAGGCATGCTTAAATGCAACTGTAAGATAGTCAGTGTTTTCACTAAACAGGGAGAGGGAATAAAGCTTCAGACATTAATCTCTTAAGGCCTTTTCTTTGGGACTTTGCCCACACAACAATTGCAAAACAAAAAGAAATCAATTGAAAAATACTGACCTGTAATTCCCAGAGGGTTTCCCAGCTCTAACCAGAGGAGGGGAGAAGACAAAATTTTCTTTTTATTTCTTCTTTGATTCAGTTTCCCCTTCCTTTTATACTTTGCCTTGAGCAGGCATCTGAGAGTCCATGCCTTGACAGGCATCTGACTGCTTTTACCTTGTCACAGCAGTCCAGGCCTAGTACCATAAATATTGAATAACAAACCTAACTATAGAGGAGACCCTTTCTTTTCCTGTTAATGTATAAGCCATCTAGGGTATTGGATATAGGATCCAGGATATATGAGTTCTGGGTTCTAGTCCTAGCTCTTTCATTGGCCAGTTGGGTTGCTCTCCCATGATTCAGTGGGACTCTCCTAACCAAGCCTGTGAGATAGCTATGAAATTGTTCCATGAAAACTACTTTATCTCAGGCTACGTCTAGACTACATGCCTCTAGCGACAGAGGCATGTAGATGAGGCTACCAGGCATAGGAAAATGAAGTGGCGATTCATTTAAATTTACATGGCTGCCGCGCTGAGCCAATCAGCTGTTTGTCGGCTCAGCGCGGTAGTCTGGACACGCAGGTGTCGACATCAAAGGCATTTGTCGACCACCCAGGTAAACCTCATCCCAGGAGGCATACCTGGGTGGTCGACAAATGCCTTTGATGTCGACACCCGGGCGTCCAGACTACCGCGCTGAGCCGACAAACAGCTGATCGGCTCAGCGCGGCAGCCATGTAAATTTAAATGAAGCGACGATTATTTAAATCGCCGCTTCATTTTCCTATGCCTGGTAGCCTCATTTACATGCCTCTGTCGCCAGAGGCATGTAGTCTAAAGTGATCAAAGTAGCCCTTTGCTCTTATAATGTGACCCCTTTGTGTGCCCCATAGTTCACCATCACTGGATTTGTTCTCCGATTTTTAAAAATAATGATCCTATTAACCTAGTCCATAGTAGTCACTGACCCTCATCACCAACCACTGCACAGTCTACAGTTTCTAGCCCAGAACTGTAATAACAGATCAAAGAACAGTGCATTGGCAAAACTGCATTACACAGTGTCTACTGACAGTCTCTTTGGTTAGAACAAGTTTATACAGTAAATGGTAAAGTCTTCCTTTCATTTAATCAAATTTACAAGTAACTTTTAAAAAAATAGGTAAATATTATACAATTATTTTTATTTGTATTATCCTATTGCTTAGAAGCTCTGCTCATGAACTAAATCTTTCAACCATCCTTTTTCTTTCATCAGGATAGTTCCTGGATTAGTGGATGTGATTATCTTACTCAGCTCAAACGTGTTGTTGCTGTAACTGAAAGGACTATTATCGTCTGGGATTATAAATCACAAGGCAGCTCCCAGGTATTGTTTTGAGTAATGCAAATATTAAAGAAAACTTAACTCACTAGGGAATCCTCTCTGCTCACATCATACAGCCCTGTTGCAATTGTCTAGTAGGCTAACTTCTCTTGAGTGACAATAAGTTTCTGCAGAAGATTTGGTAAATAAAATAAAATAAAATGTCTTTCCTTCTGGGAAAAGTGGAGTGTTTGAGGCTTTGGGACTAGCATACAGTCTTTAAAAGAAGTTTAAGGAAGACTTATGTTGGAGTAGCTTGGTAGTGTGATGGATCTCCTAAGCAGGGACTACAACTCTTATCAGCCTCTCCACTGCCCATCCCCTTCCTCATGATCTGTAGTGAGTCCATATCTAACTCTACCTGACCTGCTAGCTGCAGCCCTATAACCGATGTACAAGAAATACATTATATACATTATAATGCCAGGGGAGAACAAGAAACAGAAGGGAAACAGCAGCAGTGATTGCCAACAAAAGAAAGGAACAAAAAAATTGCACACAGACGGAATAGCAACAAAAGTTGCAAACGGAAGAAAAAATAAAGGCTGCAGGATTTCATTGATATATGATTCATCAGTGCCCCCAGAGACCTTAAGCTTTGACAAATCTTCACAATAGACAGACTTAAAGCAGTATTTTGCAAGATTTTTTAATTGCAACAAAGCTCTATAGGAGACTGGAGAAGTTCTGGGATCTTTTATTTATGCTATGGGGAGGCAGGAAGATACATCCTTTGACTTTCCAGAAGATAGTCACAAAGGGTTCTGGCTATATTTGATGGACATTTTATACCCCAGAGAAATGTGGCTTATGAAGAAACATTGTTTTTACCAGATAATCAAAAAACTAACGGGCTGTGTTGAATGTTTTATAAATGTTCTGGATCCATTGGCTGAAAACTGTCATCTGGCAGCTGCAAAGCATGAAACTGGTCAAACAGCAGAACAAAAGGCACAAGCAATTTGTAAAACCTAAAACTCCCAGCCTAAGAGGGTCAAATTCTAGTCACGCCTTTAGAGCCTTTCGGTCTGCTTGCATAAGATGTGGAAAAATTCATAACCAAACAGTTATGTGATTCACTGGAGGTATAACATGTAAGAAATGCATAAAATACGTTCATTTTCCAGTTTGCCTCATCAAAGCAATAAAGAAATTGACTCGTATAGTGGACAATTGAGAGCCATTTTTTCTGAATCTAGCATGTGTGATGACACAGAGCCAGTTTGGATAGTGAAATTGAATATTTATGGAAAGCTTATAGATTTTAAAATTGATTCAGGAAGAAACATCACAGTCATCTCAGAAGGGACTTATGGTCACCTTCAACATCTCCTAGAGCTGAAGTCATCTGACATCTATCAGGGACGGTCTAGACTGCTTGGTCATGCCATGAGGGTAGGAGCCTGGAGTCTATGATCTCTCGAGGTCCCTTCCAGTTCTAGTGTTCTATGATTCTATGACACAACTCTGACTAGCTCTGGAGATATTGTGAACTGTGGACAAGTTCATGACAGACACAGCTTGCAAAGACAAAAGCTTAACATTCAGGGTGTGTGTGATAAATGGATCACACATCAATAGCTTTCATTACTATTCATAAAAACTGTAACTCCATTTGTGTTCATTAACAGTTCTCCCATGTTGGAAAGTCTATAGTTATTATGAACAATATTTTGATATATGGTTCTTTGCTGGAAGAACACAATAACAATGTCAACAAAGTTCTAACCTAATTAATCAGTCTAGATTGAAACTAAATAAGGAAAATTGTGTTTATTGCCTATCCCACATCAAGTTTTTGACAGACAATAAACAAAGATTAATTCAATCCTAGCTCTGAGAAAGTAAAATAAGTTCAAAAAATATATGCACCAACTAAGGTATCAGAACTCAGATATGTACTGATGATGTAAGTTACCTTGGTCAGTATCTACAAAACTTCTCTGTGATCGTGTACAGTTACAGAAGACCTCTTGGGGGTGCTTCCTGGTATGCTGACAAAGCCACTGACACTAGCTTTCTTGCTCTCTGGGGCTTCTCACTACCCTGTCCTGCTGGGCCAGCTCAGCTAGCTGGTCTCCCCCAGCCAAGGCACAGAGCTGAGATCACATCCCCCTGCCCCCCCAAGAAGCAGTACAGACACTGAAACTCTTCAGGTCCAAGGAAAATGTAGTTCTGGGCCTACCTTCCAAGGAAACCACTCCCTAAATGGAATCAGAACCCCAAATGAATGATTTAGCTACGCCCTCTTTAACAATGAAAGGGGGAATGTACACACTAATTGTTCCCTCAGGTAACAGTTATTTACACTGGGCTTGATAGTAAATAAAAGTGATTTTATTACATACAAGCAGTAGGATTTAAGAGGTTGTCAGTGGAAAAAAGGCAGAGCAAAGTAGATTTCAAATTTAAAGTAACAGAAAATGCTTAGCTAATTCGAACACTAAAACCTCAGTACAAACTTAGTACAAACTTACCCTAAAATTGTTCTTATTCCAGCTATGCCTCCAAACCAGGGAAGTTCCTCTCCCTGGGGGCTCTTTCTTGGGAGTGCTATGCCAGCCAAAGATAAAGAAACTGCTAGCTTCCCACTGTTTTATAGAGTCCACCTTTGGGCAGAAATTCTGTCTACATTCCACCCTTACATGGAAAAATCACAGCTTGTCAGTCCTTACCAGTTGGGGGTCACGTGACTTCCTAGGACCAACTGCTGCTGAGACTTAAAGGACAAAAGGGGCTATTTACATATGATTGCCCAGACATTGAGGCTCCTCAGCATTGGGAACACTATTTGTGGCTTTTATCTGCATATTTAAAACCATAAACCATTCCATACTCCATATCTCTAACTTTACTTAAAGAGTGATACATACACCATAATAAAATATACAGACCCAATGGATTTAACATTAAGATTCATATGTTACATGAGGTAATTTTTCCAAAGTGTCTTTGAGTTATGCATATTTGTGTGCATAAGTCCATTTCATAATCACACTCTCTATAGTGACAAAACCACTGAATGAATTATTAATGTCCTACATATCTTGAGTGTGGGTGCCAAATCAAGAAATTGCCTTTAAAAAGGTAAAAGAAAATTTCCCAAAAGTATCAGTTCTCAAGCTATGATGTGAAGAAACCCACAATAGTCTGTGTGGATGCAAGTAGTTCTGTTCTAAGCTGTATATTGTTTCAACAAGATGGCTCTGAGTTGCCTTTTGGTCTCTCACACTCACAAAAGGTAGTCATGACAAATACATATTCTATTGAATATAAAAGGAAGTGAGGCAATGAAGCCAATGAACAATAGAATCTGGAGGATCCAAAATCTCTCTGTAGAACCTGCCTCACACTTACTTCCTCTCCTCATTCCATCTAACAGGCTCTCAGCATGTCTCCCACTTGTGCTGGTCCCGGTCTTTTGACTTCTAATAATATACTAGTCCACATTTGTCCTGCAAAAAGAAAAAAGTTAAAAAGATCCTTATTCACAATATATTAACATACTAATTAGCATGGTGAATTGTCCCAACATGTTCATCATTCATATTTCCAAACACACTAAAATATCTTTAATGCTCAGGTGCTGGTGGCTTTGACTGAAATGCAGGTTCCATTGAAGTCCATAGCAAAAATCCCATTGATTTGCCAGCTTCATGAGTCTATTGTATCAGAAAACAGTTGGTATGACAAGATTTTGAAAACTCTGAGACAATAATTAGATGTTGTTATGAATGGATGAGCATCGTGGAGACTGTGCTCAGTTGCTGTAGGACTCGTGCAGTGTCAAATAAACTCTTAACTGTATTTCACAGGATAACTGCTTTATCATCAAACCAATGGAACATTGTCTGCTCTGTGTTTGTACGGTGAATTTAGGCGATCAACAGGCTAAGGATGACCTACTAATGGGAGACGATGGGGGTCATGTCAGCCTTTTTACAGTGACCAGTGATGACTTTGGATTAAAGCAATCCAAAGAAAAAAAGAGTTCACATTTGCAGATCCTGGATTCCAGAAAATTCAAAAAGTAAGTTGTTTGTAGAAAAATACTATCACTTTAGAAGCTTTCATCAAATACTTAAATTCTGTTTCTCAAGGATCCATGCTTTTTAAAATATTTTAGAATGTACTTTGCCTAGCATAACAATGAAAATAGCTTTTTAAAACAATGAGCTGGTTTTCTAGCTCCGGTGTGAAGGCAATTCCAGTGTTCTTCATGGGAGAGCTGCACACAGAACAGCTACAGAGTAAGAACCAACAGGCCCAGTTCACCACTTCTTTAGTTGAGTTTCAGCCTGGTGTAACTCCATTGTCCTCTATTAGATGGAATCAAAACTGCTCAGTTGTGTGCCACAAACACTCTTCTGTCCTCAGATGTAAGAAATGTGTTGTCACGCCCAGTATTAGGTGCCTGCAGCTTCAGGACTAGTGGATCTAAGGTTTCTCATCTCTCTTGCTATGACTTGCATGTGTTCATTGTGTGCATTTTTAATGCAGCCTTGAAGTCCCTATTCTTATAATATACACAACATATCTTATACCAGTGGTCCCCAACCTTTTGAGGTTGTCGGGCGCCAGGGGGCGTGGCCGTTTGTCCGCCGGGCGCCAGGGGGCGGGGACACTAGCGCGCCCGGGGGTGGCCCCCCCCTTGCCGCATGCC